ACGTGTCGCGCCTTATTCTCATCGAAAATGTTTGAAAATGGAAATCCGTGTTCGGCATTGCTACCTTGTGATTAATTGTGTTGTATTTATCCAGAGTGAGTATCAAGCTTAATATTTCCTTTCACGTAAATATTTTTTTTTAATGTGATGGGTTAATGGAGTGTTGGCTGTCAAACATAATCCCAGTTCTCTTTAGGCGCTTTCCAACGTTGCGAAAGGAATTTCTTTAGGCTCTAAATATACGTCAGTCACAATTTTACAGCTCATCGCTTTCCTTGTTCATTTTTGTAAGGAAAAGAAAATGCGGTAAGTTGTTACGTAAGCGTTATGACAAAATCTATTCTTTATTCCTGTATTAAATATACTGTCAAATGTTTTAACGTATATTTGAATAAATAAATGTAAAATGTAAAAAGAAATAAAATTATACGTGAAATAGTACAATGTATTTGAATACTAATTTAATTAATATTCAATCATTTCAAAAACTAATTACGTTTAACATTTTCTGTACTTTCATTATCCAAATTTTGACAACTTAAACGTTACCTACAACTTCAAATTATGTCTGAAGGTGGAATTTAAAAACTGGTTTATGTCAGTGCATTTACCTTTTTCAATACATTATAAAGAAGTATATAAAAGTAGTAGTTTAATTACATAGGAATGAACAACGTAATAATTAATATCTTATTCTATTATAATCAACTTTTATTTCTCGTTTGAGTTCGTCAGATTCATCAGTCATCACTTGTTTTTTGTCACGCCAATTTTTTACCTTTTTTCTCACTTTGCCAATTTTTATTTTAAACACTGAGTATTGACTGCTTTGTTTTAACATATAACGTAAACTACACAAGCAAAAACAGCGAGTGCAAGTTGGCATATTTTATTCATGTGATTCATATTTTGCGATTAAAATATTATATTGTATTAATAAAAAATTCTCTGATAGATTACAAACTTATTTATACGTAAAACTATAAATAAAGTGTTTAGTTTTATTTATAAAAATTAAAAAAAAAATTGTTGTCCTTCATCGTGTTTTTAAGAGAAAAGTTTAGCATATAGAAAAAAATGAAAAATGTGTTTCAAGTTTAAGAGGGTCTATTAACTTTTAACTTTATAACCAATTAAATATGACTGAAACATAACTTTACTATAAAATGCAGTTCTGTACGTTAGTAGGTGAAAAGCAAAAACTGAAACTCAGGACATTTAGATTTCAAATTGTACTGATACTGAGCTCTATATATGTCGTGTAAACCTCTGTAACAGAATTCTAATAAATATCTTAATCGGATAATACACGTTGTTATTCTTTCTAAGTGTTTTTATTTACGTTAACGAGCACGTATACGAAATCATGGCCTAAATAAAAGACTTGACAATGCACGTGTGAATAACAATTATGATGCAGCCTGTAACTAAATATTTCCGTTTATGAATAAAATGCAATGCGCAGTAGCATTAAGTTCTATTATTAGGTACATAAAAATAAATGTTTAATTATTGTCGTATTTATTATACTTAAGTATTATTAATCTAGTGAAGTAATTCTAAAAATAAATTATACATATTTATTCGAATGTTTCTTCCAGATTTGGAGGCAAAACCGTTTTCTTTAAACGAGGCCATTGACGAAGAAGTGCGGGGGAAGCAATCTTTACAAACGACGCCTCGATCCAACTCAGCAGGTAACCCAATAAGGTCAAGAATATCCCACGAAAATAAATACAGTGAAAGAATTTATCTCATATACAATATACGCACAAACTTGATTTGATATATTACTAGTAGAATGTTTTGTATTTTATTCGATTGAACGAAAATTACGTTATTAATTCTTTATTTTCAGCTATATTTAAAGTTGAATCGAAAAAGGACCGCTTGCCAGTATTATCGAGAAATATTTTTTTTTCGGAGCCCTATCTTAGAAAAGGTATGTTATTTATAAGACAATAATTAATACAATTTCTTTAACGTAGCGTTTACATAAGAAGTTATTACATTTAAAATTAACTGACAATATTTCAGCTTCTCCGAAGAAACCGTCTTCAGTCCAATACAAAAAAACTTTTAAGATAAGGCCACCTATTAGACCGAACAGATTGAAAAGACAACAAAGATTACTAAACAAATTAAAGAATAGGACCACAGAAAGATCAATAGATAGTTATGAAGCTATCAATCACAAATACATCCCACTCTTTAAGAGTCTCAGCCTGTTGTTTGATAATTTTCTTAATGTTGACGGAAGCGACTCCTACGAGACTTCCACCAGAAACGAATACAGAAGGAATTATCAGTACTCAAAGGATGATCACGAACCTAAATGCGTTTGCACAATCACATCAAATGCAAACATCGAAGAAACTCAATCGACCGAAACGACAATTGCTTCTTCCTCGTCTATTCCCACTGAGATCCCGAATGAACAGATTGTCGCCTCTGCCGAGGCTACCGCCGCCCCGACCGATTATACTACCGCTGGTTACATCCGCAGTGTCAAACGGAATAAGAACATACCCGTATTACTTGCAAGAAATACCGCTAGCCCTGGGAGAGACTATAATGGAGTCAGTGAGGGAAGCAACTCCACAATTCACGGAAGCATTGAAAGATATCTCACCGGGGATAATGGAGATAATGAATGTGTTTCCGGAAACGAGGAGAGAGAGTCCATTGCACAATATTATGAAGAACATTCCTACAGTACTCCACGAGACCATGCAAGTAGCATTGGATCCTCTGGAGGAATATCCCGAAATAGAAATGGTACCAGAAATACAAAAACTGGAAGATCTATCGACAAGAGTATCATCACTACGTCAGAAGAAAATGCCCACGAAAAACTTAGACGAAACGTCGATTTACTTAAAGGAAAAAATAAATTCAAAACTGGAGAATACGAAACAAAAAGCACAACAGCTATACCAAACGATAATTCAGGATTACGACGAAATGCAAACAAAAAGATACAAGTCACAGAACCAACTGTTACCGACGAAGATTGCGAAGAAAGCGACTTCGGTGTCACAGTCATTAGCTCCGATGATAAACGATTCCTTGACAGAAATGGCGCACATACCAAAGAAAATAAAAAAGTTCGTAGAACAAATGAAGCAGTAACCTCAAGGTTTCCATTTAATACAATGGCAACAGTTAATAATAAAGTACCCGTTGTTACAATTTTTGACGGGTATAGTGTAGCTAAAGACTTCAATGGTGAAAATAAATTAACTGAAAAGGCAATTCTAATTCATGCATAGAGTACAAATACAATATACCCGTCTCAAACGGCGATTAGAAGTAACCCCAGAGAAAAATTACATGTTAACTTAAAGTGACATATATTAAGTTGTAATAAAGTCGAAACTGAATAAGCAAGCAACCTCTATAAGCGAGAGTCATTTTTTGGACCACACAATCTTTATTAGCAACAAACTCTGGTAAGAGAGAAACCAAGCAAGCACACAGTCTCTTGGACTCTTGCTTATCCATGTTCAACTGTAATCATAACCTTATGATATAAACTCTAGTTAATAATCTTTAAATAAAACTATGTATAAAGTATAAACAATTTTTTTATTTAAAACATGTTTTATCGCCGCCCTTTCTTGCCTTTGCTTTTATTACTAGCTTGTGTAGATTGTGGCTGTTGATCTGCTGGTCTGAAAGCACATATTAAATTAAATAATTTTAGTACACTTTAACTGGAATACACAATTTTAAAAAATGAGACATAGCTATAAAAAAATAATTACAAAAATTAATTATGTAACTAATAAGACAATTATTGGTAAAACATAATTTAATTAAATATTACCTGTTTTGACGAGTTTTCAGCTTAGGAATTGATTCTCCGATATACTTCATGACTGACTCTCTTGTACCAAATTCTGATTTAACTGGAGTGCCATCATCATTTTTGATCTGAACTCGAATCCTGCCCCTGTATAATATTTCCTAAAATCATAATGAAGTGATAACTTAAAATGAATTTTTATAACTTGCATATTTCCAAGAAATTAAATGCGGGACTATTTTCAGAGCAAAGATAAATTGCAATGCAGTTAATTATATACCTTACTTCTCTCCCTCGAATACAACTTGTTCTCCACCCCAACACGAAGTCCAACAGCTAGCAACACATCTCGGATCTCCTGATGTGTAGGGTTTTCAACACAGCTAGATTTTGGCAGTTTTCGACCCTCAGCAAGGGTCTTTTTGCTATTTATATACGCAGGGTATATGCATATCCATCTGAAAACATAAAGACATGTACAAATGAAACGTATGTGTTTTAAAACTTTACTGATTTCATACATACAAAATTTTAGATATGAATCTAAAGTATTTTGGTTAGAAATTTTACCTCTCAACATCACTGTGTTTTTTTTCGGGATTCCAAGATGTTATCATAGTGGCCATAATAAAATCTTTTAACTTCTTTATAAGGATAAACGTTAATCCCTAAAACCTACTTCATAAATTGTAATATTTTGTAAACTAAATAGATCTTTCAAGACTTTGACAATTTGATGATGACATTATCAAAAAGTGTCAATGTCAACTACAAAAGAAAGTGACATGTTTCAATCCACGACTAAGTTGTTAAAGTTTTTTAATTAACATTCCCTTTTTACTTCTATTGGCGGTTCGGATTCCTTAAATTATTAAATATTAATTAAATTCGGCTCACTGGACAGCTCAATTTAATGATGGTATAGAATTACATTTGTGTTTCGAATTGTAAAGTAGAGCGTGTTGCAATCTGGTTTAAAGAACTGCCATCGCATGAGTCATGGAACCTTTAGTGGTATAACTTTTTTTGTCTCTCTTTCTCTCTCTCTCCCTGTCTAATAAATGATATCGCTTTTAGACATGAACTACCAATTTATTTATTAAGCTACAGCGTAACAGTTCAAGTGGTCTAAAAATTAGAGTCGATTCAAAACGAAACTGATTTACTCACTACTTGACATGACAGTGACATAGACAGTTGACACCGGTCCGTCACAGAATCGTCGCATTGGTCGGCGCCAAACTGCAATTCGACTTTGAGGTTATAATATTAATACTAATATTTATAAATTTTATTATATTTTTTTTTTGCATAAGTATGAGTGAGTTAACGACATGACTTCTATCGCAGTAAATAAAAACATCATAGCTATTACAAGAGGTTTACGTATTGATTGCTACGATTATTCTAACCACAAAATTATTGATGTGGAATCTCGAGATGCCAACGATAGTATTTCTGATATTGTTATTGCCTCCAATTGTGAATACTTAGCAATTATAACTTCGATGTCGAAGCAACTCATCATCTACAATTGGCCAACATTTAAAACAAAAAGAAAATATGTCCTACCCAGAAGTGCAAGCAAAATAAGATTTTCACCTCAAAGTGACCATATATTCGTCGCCGATAAAACTGGTGATGTTTTAATGTACGATATTTCAAAGGAAGATGATGGAATTAAGCTACTGGGTCATTTAAGTTTATTACTTAATGTCTTGCAAACTAGTGATAGGAAATTTATTATTTCTTCAGACAGAGATGAAAAAATAAGAGTATCCTGCTATCCTAATACTTATAATATTCATACATATTGTCTGGGTCATACAGAATTCGTCAACCATTTGGAATTTCTACCGCATAACAATAAATATCTGACAAGTACATCTGGTGATGGCACTGTCAGATGTTGGGATTATGTAACTGGTAAAATGCACTATAGCATTGATACATTCCTTGATATAAATGATGAAACTTTAAAAGACGACTTTACCAAAGTTATGATTGATGAAGGTATAGAAGTTAACAGTTTACCAATAGTTCATTATGCCGTTACTAAAAAAGATGAATCATGTAGCATTTTAGCTATAGCTGTTTATAATTTTAATAAAATACTGGTTTACAGTTTGAATAGTGATGATGAATGTTTTAGGCATAGATTACTACAAAAAATAGATGTTGAACAACTTCCTTCGTCTCTAGCCTTGCATGGCTCATCCTTATTTGTTTATTTTGATGTTAAAGGCACAGTCCTTATTTATACAATAAAATATGAAAATACAAATATATCAATAGAATTGGAAAAAACTGTTCAAATTTTTGTAAATGATCAAAGTAATGGAGTATCAGATATGGAAAACAAGCAGTCTATTAAATTATTATACAAAAGGAAGTTTGACAATGTCCAGGAGTATCAAGAAAGAAAAAAGCAACGATTGGGAAAAGTCTGAATGTTATATTCTATACATATACTAACATTTCACAATTTGTACTACTGGACCATTTGTTTTTCGTTTGAAAATCGGGTATAAGCTAAATGATTTTAAATAAAAGATTTTTTAACCGAATAGTTATTTATTTCTAATTACATTGAAAACAAAAACTATGACATTTGCATGTATTATGAGGTGTATAAAAATAAATGAAATTATTAGTTTACTAAACACATTCAATGCCACTCCATTTTTTTGTAAAGTGCACTCAGGAGAATCGGTGGCACTGAATGTGTTAGAATATTTTTATTTTCGGAAACTAATAGAAACTAAATAATGTTAAGATATATCACAATCTAAAACAAAAGAAATATTGCTTTTAACTGTATTTTAGATTTTGTAATTTCATTATCGCTTTTTATTATTACAAGAAATATATGTTTCCAGCTTAAAAGGGATTGACAATACATCCACCTTAAATATAATTTGTTTGTTAATAACTAACAATACATGATGGGTCTAATTTTTACAATCATCATAGATTCTAAATGCAATAAATACAATTTCTGCATATGAAATGTTTTATCTAGACTTTAGGACGTTAGCAAAGTTGCGAAGCTGTGAACCAAGGTTGTCTATTTCATTCAGTACACAATCTACATCATTCTTGAGATCCATTAGGTCTGGTAAGTTATTGCAATCTGGTACATTGAGTAAAGTGGTAAATATCTTGTCCCATAGACTGACTTTCATATACCTGAAAAATTTATAAGACAAATTAAACATCAACTATTTTATTAAATGATAGTAAATAAGAGTATGAAATTATTTTAAAATATTAAAAAAAAGGTAACGTCTACAATGCAAGTTTAGAAACACTGCTTATTTGCAAAATCATTGAAATAATATTTCCTAATCTATCTTCCAAAACATATGGTATGTGAGATTACCTTGGTAGTTTTTTGTCAATATTCCATTGTCCAAGGCGGCTGACAACTTTCATATAACTTCCCATTAAAATAACATGAATTGTCCCGGCCAAGCAGTACAAGTCGGTCTGGTAGGTCCAGGGTTTGCCTTCCCTCATCTCAGTACACGTGAATCCTTCTGTTGCTATTAACTAAAATTAAAAAAGTTTATTTCAGATTTAATTTTTAACGGGCTAAAATTTTGTGTACCAGTACTGTTTAAGTATGTGTTTACAAGCTAAATATGTTATGTCAAAACTATAAAATCTAGCAGAAACCAACCTCTCTGAATGTTGTGCCTTCAGGAAACAAGGACATATCTATAGCACAACCAAAGTCTATCAATTGCAAGGATGGAGTTCTCCATTCTTGAGTAGGGCTGCAAATAATGGAATAAAATTAACAATATCACACAACTGTAATAATGCATACAGTAAAACTATGAATTATTATTTACTCCATTTTACTCACATTTTCATTAGCAAAAAATTGTCAGGCTTGATATCCGCGTGAATTATTCGTGCTTTGTGTAGATAGTGGACTATGGATAAGATCTCAGATGTCAGCAAAATAACAATGAACTCATTTATGCATTTTGAGGTAGCAATTCTCACTTTGTTAGCAACATCCAATAGTGATCCATATTTAGAATATTCTGACACGAATAAACTTGCATTTTCACCTAAAAATGCAGTTGTTATGTCCATGTACCCAGGAAGCTGAAAGAAATACCAGAATTAGAAATGGCTTATTAAAACAAAATTCTATTTATTCACTTTTCAAAACACATACCATGAATGGATCTTTTATCCTAGCTTTTATCTCTTGACAAATGTAGAATTCCCATGGGCGACTTGGTTTTTGATACTTAACAGCCACATTTTTATTGTTATGCAAGTCCAAAGATAAAAACACTGCACCATAATTACCTTTACCCAACTGCTTATCAATAGAGAACTTATTATTACCAACACTCATCACAGTAGCTAATTGTAATTTTGGTATAGATCTAACCTCTATGTACCCTTCTGCATGAGTTTTATTAGGAAACTTAACATATTCTAATAAAGAGGCAATAAGCTTCTTGTTGAAGGGATCAATTTGTGATGGGAAATCTATATCAGCAGGCCTCGGTATGTCACTAGTTTCCACCAAAGATATGGAGTGTGTTGATTTGAATGCAGCACATTCCATTGAATTTTCACTATCTATATCCATACCATAGCCATCAGATTGTAAGTCAGACTGTCGCGAGTAAACTGAAGAGATTCTGCTCTCTTTACCAACAGAGTCTCTGCTGTCCTCGGATTGAATATCTACTCTATTTTCAAAATCAAGTTGCCTTTTTGATATGTCTTTTTGTTTTTCGATGTTATGAGTAACTTTAGCGGATTGTATCGGTGTGGCTGACTGCGCAGTCATGCCATCTTTACTGTCTGAATCAGACATGCCCGATGATGGAGGTATTTGAGCCTGCTCAGGGCTTGACACATATAAGTTCTTATGCATTTTTTGTGAAATACTGGGACTGTTTGTGAATTTAGGTGTATTGGCGTTATCCTTAGGTTCGTTGCGATTAGATATAAAGTTTAGGTACTGGTTTGAATAGCCTATTTCGGATGGGTTCTGATGTTTAACATTGGGTTGATCATGTCTAACAGTTCTTAAAGCTGATGAAGGACTCTTTCTAGAATTTTTCGATTGTGGACTAATGTTGGTGAAATTCTTCTCAGCTTCCATAGATTCTTGAGGTTGAGGTATGCTAGTGGCTTCCTGTCTCATTTGTTCAACTGAATGAGTCATAGGGTTATGTGTCGAAGGACTTCTGTAATTATTTTGTGGATTCTGTGGGCTTTGATAGATTTGAAACGATTGGTTATTTGTAATTTGATTACTAGCTATGGCATAGGCCTGTGAGGTTGTTTCCATTTGTTTTGGAGATTGTCTGTATGTGTTCTGTACTGTGTTAAAATTCGGATTGCTAGGGTGATTAGGACTAGGGTACATGTTTGCATTATTGTACTGGTTGTGCATCCCATGATAATTTTGTTGATTGTATTGGTTTGCTGGTTGGTTAGACCTTTGGTAATACTGGGGATTTTGATACTGTGTTTGGTGCGGAGGGCTTTGAAAGACAGCCGGTTGTTGTGATTGATTTGCATAAATATGCTGTCTTTCTGTTTGATTATAGTGGAACTCTTGTCTATTGTATGCATGTTGAGGGCTCATCATTGCTTGTCCGGGGCTGTGGTAGCCCATCTGATTGGTGTATGTAGGGCTATGAAAGCCAGGTTGCACGGGTGCATTGATTTCATGCGGACTCTGCATTCCAGTGTGTTGAGGGCTTTGGTAAACGTTTGGATTGGTATTCTGATAACTTTGCTGTTGCTGAGGCATCATTTGGTTGTTTCCATACGATGATTGGTTGTAGCTAAACCCCTGTTGATACTGGTGCATTGACCTTTGTGGTGTGAATCCATTAAAATTAGGAACACCTGGTTTCTGATACTGATGATCGTGGGTGTGATAGGATACTGTTTTATTCTCTTGAGGCTCCCGTTTTTGTCCATAAATTCGTGAAAACTGTCCATTGGCGAGTCGTGGTTGCGACGATACTGAATTTCTTTTGTGAGCTGCGCTCTGTTGACTTGGGTCATTAGGGTTGTTATACATAGAGTCATAGTTTGTTGTGTACCCTGTAAAATTGGTCCTAATAGATTGGCCTGATGAACTTGAGCCAGATTTACTGAAAAGAAAAATATTTTACGTACTTTAAAAGACTCGAAATATTTATTACAGTTTAAATTCATGTGACTTGCAATAAATGGAACATCTTTTCTACAATTCAAAGCGATATTTGTACCTATTATACTCTCTCGTGGCTTCCATAATGACGGAGAGTCCTGCACCCTGATTATCAACAGTAGCGTGCTGGTCCATGGCAACTCGTCTCGGGAACTCTTCTTTTTTGCCAATGGCCTGATCTGATTGTTCAATGACACTTTCGTCCAAGCTAAATTTTGGTACGGATGGATATTTACCCGATTGGTCTATACAACTTGTTGGCTTTTTAAACTGTGACATATTCGGTGTGCTCGCGTCTTTTATGTTAAAGTTGAATACCTGAGTGCAGGACGGTTCTTCGTAATATGCAGTTTTATTAACCTGTGAATAAATGTAACTTATGTATCCACATGAATATAAATTCAATAAGACTTTAAAATGTATGTTATACATTTTGAAATGGCTTGTAAAAAAATATGTGTTTTACCTGTTGTGGGACTTGAACAGCAGTTGGTGTGGGAAACTTGTTAGCATTTTCTTTATCTTCTGGCAAACTTCTGGTATCGGGAATTTCGAAATTCTTCTTGTTGATTGCCATAGTCATAGACCTATCTTCGTGTATGTCGAATTTCGGCACTTCAAACTGTTGCACTGGCTGTACCATCGAGGGCTCTACTTCAAACAGAAAATGGTAATAACCAAAATTTATAAGTCGTAATTTTAAAAAATAAGAGTAAATAAATAAAGTGATCTTAAGGTAAAAAAAATTAACATACCATTGTCATTAAAAATGTTTCTTAATTCCCACCTTGCCTCTTTGGTGTTAACAGTGACATCATCAAGCAAATTGCCCATTAAACTTCTATTAAATTCTTCCATTAAGTTATTTTTTCCAAAGCTTGCTGCATTTGCTGTAGCAACATTATTATTTGGAGTATTCAATTTTTCCGCTTGATTTTCTTTGTCGGAGGATGAGGGGGATGTTTTTTGATTATCGTCATTTCTTTTTGCAGCATGTTCGCTTAATTCTTTTGAATCCAAATTGACTAAGACTTTTGGCTCGCCCGGTGAATGCATGTTAGTCACTTTGGTGATGTTTTGCAGCGACGGAATTGATAATGGCATTAGTTGTCCTAAATGTTCCTGTTCAGTATCTAAGGCACAGTTTGCTAAAGTTTCTAAAGCACTACATTGTGCGAGAGCCTCATTTACATTATAACTTTGTTGTGTATCAACACTTTCTACATTTTCAGCCTTAATTTTTCTTTCTAGATTATACTTCCTAGATCTAATTTCTTCTAAACTGTATTCTATATCATTAACATAAACCTAAAAAGTTATTAATACATTTGTAACTGATTTAAAACAAATGAACATTAGGCGTTAATTCTATACATATTTCATCACTAAATAGATTTTTCTTCAATACATTTTATAAATGTTGTAAAGCCAGAAAATTAATAACTGACACCAAATACAAAAAAAAAACTACGAGAGTAAAATGAATATCTGTATGCAAATATGACTTATTCATTTGGAACATAACCTTAATAATAATTTTTCACATACCTGCGTCTTATTATAACAAGGTATTTTAGTAGGGTCCACAGGGTCAGGTACACAGAGAGGCACATTAAATGTCAAGTCATCCACACAGTGAGGCAAGTGATTTGCTGATAGTTTCAACGCTTCATCATCATCTTCATAAGCTACAAAAAATTTAATATGAAGAAGATACACTTAAAACTCTTTTAACAGCTTTTGTCTGTACATCCAAAGCAAACAGTCATATTTAAAAAGAAAAACTTTACATTAACATAAAGATAAAAAAAATATTTTAATGTTGAGCACATATTGATAAATATTATAACTGATGACCACTGTAAGTCCCATTTCGTTTTCATTGCCATTTCATTGTCATCACAAGACAAACAGAAACAGTTCTATTATAAATGTCTAGGTTTCTAGTTGGAGGCCAAGACCCTCTTTGAGTTGCTGCTCCAATGGAGTAAGTAAGCTCTCTAAATGTTACAAGATACATATAAATGAAAATATCAATACTTACGAGTAAAGGGGAGAGGATGATTGGGCACTACATGGGTATGTACCATTTTAGTCTTAGGGTTAACCCATACTCCGACTTCTTTCTCATTTTCAACATTACTGTATGTCTGAACTATAGAAGCTGGTCCTTGATCTTCTGCCATGGGCACTGCTGCATGTGATGTGGAAGGAGCATCCTAATGGACATGACATGACAATTCAAAATAACTTGGCTATAATAATTATATAATTAATCTATAAATAGTTAAGTGTGGGCAGATAGTGTATTGTATTGTGAATAATGTGGTTAGACACAAATAACCTATGGTCTGTTTGATCAAATAAAACCAGTCCCAATTTCAAAATTGTTGTAGATACAAATAAAACAAGTAAACACAAACAAAAAGTTAAACATTACTTTCTCCATTGCTTATAGAACAATTTGATGTTGTAGAAAATCAGAGTAGCAGTTTTGTTTTTTCAATTTTACAATAAAAGGTGAACTCTTTTCTCTTAAAATAAATAATAAATTTAATAATATTTACCTCATACACATTAACCATAACATTTGATCCAGGATGCCTTCTTTCAGATGTAGCAGTTTGTCTCACAACACCAGGTATCACACTTCGAACACTATCTCCAATTCTCTGAACTGGCGCATTGGCGATATTACGTCTCTTAAATGATTTCAGTGATGTTAGTGCCATCCTAGTCTCAGCTAGAGCAGATGCAGCCTTCCTTTTAGTTGGAGAATCATCATGCAACATTCTTTGGGCAAAAAATAATTGGAAGTTCCTAGAAATAAAAATTTAGTTACACCACTTATAATTTTATTCATATATAAAATTATCCATATCTTTTTCTCCAAATGCCTGTACAATACAAATATCCACAGCATTTTTTATCAAAATAATAGTAAAGAATCTATTTAATTATGATTATCATATATAAATCATATTGTGCAGACTAGTTCTTTTTTAAAAATTATAATACTAAATAAGCAATTGAATTAATTGCAAGATTTGCACAAGTTACATTTTTAGGTTAATTAATTTTATAAAATCTTTCCAACTCATGTAATAGTTGTGTTATCCATAAAAATGTTTATTTAAGAATAATGAAATTGACTTTCTATTAACATTGCCTAATAAGGGCACTGGTTTACAATAGCTTATTAGCCTTAACAAAGAAACCTTAGTAACCAAATATTAAATAAATTGCGTAAATGTTTTATATTTTTTTTGTATTTGGGTTAGCATTTTCATCTGTTGTTTTAAAACTTAATGTAACAAATTTTTTTTACAAAATATGCAAAGAGAACCTCTAAAAAAAACAAGTTATAAATCAACAATAAAAAAGTATCAATAGCATCAAGGTCTATCAGGTAAATTGAGTTAATATGTATTGTAGTATTACATAATTCTTAACCACCTACTCTAATTAGATTAATCAATAAAATCCATATCATACTTACATATGTGCCTGTTCAAGCTCATCCAAGGGCTGTGCCTTAGCCTGGAGCCCTAACATATACACTTGGTTTGCTTTCTTGTAATCACCAGACTCCTCACAGTAACAAGCCCATGCACGATAAAACTCTGAGCATTCCACCCCTATGCCAGTGTTGTACAACCTTTGGTATATCTCCAAAGGATTTGATAAACAGTCAACCTTAAAATTCAAACATCAATGAAATATGTTAAAATTTATTAATCAAATTAAAAAACAACCCATTCTCTGGGAACTCAATGTTTGAGCAGGAATAGGCAATTGCAAAAATTATTATGAAATTTTAACTACTCAATTACAATTTACTTTTGTAATACTACTAGTACTTTTATAAATTGTATTGATTTCAGTATTAAGTCAGGAGATGCCTTCTTACAAACATCCATCCAAACATTCATATTTATAATATTTGCAAAAATTTATCATAACTAGTCCAGGCCATAAACTTTAGAATAAAAAACATAAAAACCTTAACACTACTAAATATCTGTAAATGAACACATATATTTACACATTATCTTTATAAAAGTTCCTCTATACATTTAAGAATGAACACATCAATTAACATCAAGAAACATATTACCAAACTTTTCATAAATTTATGAACAGTTAAATAGTATGCAAAAAGATAAGCCTAAGAAAATGTCTCCTCATTTAATGTTTTCTTTACTTACATATTTTATCCATAGTTTTACAAGTCTTCGGTCTTGATAGTACCTTTCATCTTTTTCAAATAGTTGCAAGCAGTCTTTTATTAGTTTATCTATATGACCTTCATGGCCATGCTTTGGAAACGATTGTTCAACCCATTGGATATAATTAAACCATGGATCCAAGGGATCCGTGCCTTGATACTGTCTAATAGCTGCTTCATGTTCCCTAATACAAAAAAAATTACAAATACAAACCAAATCTTCTTTTATTGCCAATTTTAAACCATAAGACATGATGAAATAAATAACCAAAGAAAATATGAAACTTAGAATATAATTTAGAGTTTATATAAAACCCTTTGCTTAAGTTTGTGTTTTTTAATCATTTTAAGTAAATTAAAATGGAAGCAAGGAATATTAAGCCGAGATACTGATAAACGATGGATAAGACTTACTCTTTTTGTAATTGAAGCTGTCTTTGAGCGTCAACATCAGACTGAGCTTGCAATGCAGTCCCCAGCTGTAAAGGGTTTCTACCACCTCTTAAAGGTTGTATATTCTCCTTACTAACGTCAATATCCATAGTAGGAGTCAAAAAGAAGCGAAATATCAGAACATTAGGAATAAACACTGAAAAACTGAACACAAATACGTGATTTCCGAAACAGATTTGGAGGCTAAACCGAATGTTTGTTAACCACTCGAACACAGTCTGTGTTTACTAAATCAGTAATATAGACACAATATAGCTAAAATTAATTTGTAATCATTGGGATTCAGCTGTTAAATCCAAGAAATCGTCGTGACTGTTACCAACTGAAGCACCAAATCAGAATTCAACCTCCATCAAAATGACAAAATACCTCGAATAGTGTACTCTATGGTAAGATTTGAATTTATAAAAAAGCGTGGCCGTTAAATTGTGTTTAAGTGCCCTACGTACAACCCGAACATAGTATCTTTTCCATTATTATTATTATTTCCCTTGGTTTTTGTGATGATTAATGTGTGTATCTTTCTACTTTATAGGCATGTCTTTTTCTTTTTAATGTAATGTCTAGCCTGCTTATTATCAAGGTAGTTTTTTTATTATGTGTTTCATAACGCTTTCTTTTTCACTTTGGCACATTTGGTTTTTTTACCAAGCTGCAGTAAATTTAATATCAATGATAAGAGAGGATAATCTTCAATTTAATTTATAAAGTAAACCGTTAAAATATTTTTTCTTTTGAACTTTTAAAACAGCTCTCTCCGTGTACCATAGACCAACCGTCCTCCTCTTTTCTTTTTTTTTCAATTCATCATATGTCAACGTCAATGAAATCAAAGTCAAACTTCTGTCAACGATCAACGAAGAGGAAACTTGTCAATGTAATTCGACGACTAATAAATGATATTTCATATGTTATTCACAGAAATCTTGAAATAATTGAATATTACACAATTTATATTAACTATTTACCATGTCGCTACGTTTAGAAGTTGAAAAGAAAAAGGCCCTAGAAGAAATGCGCAAATTAATGGCAGACCGTAAAAACAAGGATAAAAAGCCTATAAAAATAAACAACCCACTTGCGAAATATAATAATGCTGGACAACTTATGTGTGTACTGTGTTCTTCTATAGTGCGGTCTGAAAATGTGTGGCAAGTTCATGTAAACAGTAAACAGCACAAAGAAAATGTTGAACAAGCAAAGAAATTAAAAGAACTAACTAATAATTTCACAGATAAAAAAATTAAGAAAAGACCAAATACATCATTAGGAGATCCACCACAAGAGAAGAAAATAAAAGGAATTCTAAAAAATGCTAGTGAAAATCCAATTGTACAAACGGCTAAGCCAAAAAATAATGCGCCTACAATAATAACTTATCACAATGAAGAAATTAAAAGAACTATTTTAGAACCTATTATTAAGGAAGGTAAAACTCTTTTAACTTTGAATATTTTGGGGAGTTTAATAGGCATAGTATTTTTCAAATATTTTTTTGGCTGACCTTGATCTGCACACTATTCTTTACACCCTGCTACTTACTGTTTCAAGGGTTTCTCAGAAAAAATGCGGATTTGTGAACAGGCAGACAAAATTTATGATCCTTGCATGATTTTTTTTTTATTTAAGGCCCAAGTAAAGATGAAATAACAAATGTAGATACAGCAAAAGAAGATGCAAAAACCCAGGAAGGCAACGATCAACCAATCCCTGAAGGTTTTTTTGATGACCCCATTTTAGATGCAAAGGTAACTAATATTTACTGCTTTAGGACTTTTCCAGTTCAGTTTTCATAATGAATCTATCACAAAGCTTAATTATCTAATTGGTTAAATTATAAAGTAATTTCTTCATTTCTACATGTAGACATTTACACCAATTGGATAAGGTATAGTATTGAAACACTACAAATTAGACTGGGACCAAGAAAATTGGGAATCCCTTCAAGGGATTTATTTCACATGGAACCTTAGATATTCTTATGTGTGTTATATTCAATTTATTGCTATTATATGTTCCATTTTAAATTTATTTTTTAAAATAAAAACAAAGAAAGTTCTTTCTATAAATTTATTAATAATTTTATATGGTTTAGCTTATACAACTAAATAACAAAGAATGACCCACATAGCAATGCGGTACAATATTTTAGACGCCCTTAATTCAATAATAGGGATGATGAAACATCTTATAGAATTATAGTAATCAACTGAAGTTTGTAATCTGTCTTTTACCTTTACGACAATTATTGATTCTTTGAAAATCAACTTACTATAAATGCATCACACAATTTTATTAAGAATCAAACATAAGTAATACATTATCATTTTTTATTCCCCATAAAGTTCTTGAAATGCTTCATGTATAAATTCAATCATATCACCTGCTACCATACTGCGTCCATAGATTCTAAAAGCTTTTTCATTACATTTTCTCACTAATATGGAAGCCGCAAAACATGATATTGATGATGCTATAGATTTATCAGCTGGTGACATATTAAATTTGTCTTCATTACTGGTCATCCAGTGTAAAAATGTTGCAATAGATCCTGAAAGAATGTCTCCTTGACCACCACATCTACGACCAGATCCACCCTCATTTGATTTCCATTGAGCAACATTACTGGCACAAAATATTTCATCTGTTTGACCTTTTTTAAATACTACAATATTTTCTCCTAGTTTATTCAGCTCTGAATACCCATTTACTTTCTCACATAATCTTTCAAATTCTATCTTATTTGGAGTCAATATCACTGGTGAATTGAAGTTTCTAATCAAATCTAAATTTTGAGTTATTAAGAACAAACCATCTGCATCTACCACAAGAGGAATGTTTTTGGATTTAATTGTTTTAATCAACTCTGACACTACTTCAAATGTTTTATTTTGTCTGCCTAGTCCCGGTCCAATGACAATAGCATGCAATCTGTCCAGCCAAGGGGATATATCATTGACTGCATTGGGGTGGTCCAAAAGTGGGTGAACTATTAATTCTGGACTGTAGGATTTTATAACGGTAGCAGCTGATGATGTGCAGAAGACATGCACTAAGTCCGCACCAACCTAAAATGAGATGTTGATCATATTTGCAGGAAGTTCTTATTATTTCAATTTACAATATTATCTGTATTTATTTAACAGTTCACGTAGTAACTGCAAAAGTTACCTTTAAAGCGCTAATTCCAGCAAAATATGGCGCCCCAGTATACTCCAAGGAACCTCCGATAATTCCTATCCTTCCGGCCTGACCTTTATGACTACTACCATCTAAAGGAGGAATATATGATTTCACCTTTTGTATCATACTTGACTTGTCCATTGTTGATGACAACTTGGAATATTGAATAAAATAGATCAGACGATTTCTTTTAGCCAATAAATTATTAAACATTTGCACCCAATTCCACTATACAAATAAATTGATTGGTTAAAACAATATCATAAGCCAATTGTTATAGTTAGGGATGTTATACTATTAATTTTGTAGTAATATTATTACTATTTTTACCATAAAAATATTTGTTCTAAATCCTATTTTATTACTTTGCTATTTTGTGACATATGTCAGTACGTTAAATGTCAATACAAAATACATTCGTTCAAAATAGTAAAGCATGGTAATAATTTTTATGTTATTTGTTAATAATCTAATATAAATATTTGATATAAAATATTATAAGGGAATGTTATTTGGATGATCGCTTTTTAATATAGACGTTTATTTTATAGGTCAGAAATATCGAGTATAAAGACCCTGTGGAGGAAGAGTGGGAAAAGTTTCAAAAGGAAATCAAAGAAGAAACTACAACTTCCGCTGAAATTATAGCTGGAGAACAAGAAGAAGCAACGGCAGAAAGACAAATCGATGAAATTGATGAACAAATTCGGAATTGGTCAAGGTACAATTTAGAAATAGTTATATTGTATTTACTATAATTTAGTTTGTGTGAAAAATTGTCCAAACCATCATGAATACTCATATATTCCCGACTCTGCGTCTCGGTCATAAAATTTAGGATTACAGTAACATCTTTCTTATTTGCAGAGTTCTTGACTTAGAACTAAAGAAAGAAGAGACAAAGAAGAAGAAGCAAGATGTGGAATTGATGAGTGAAGATGAAAATGATTCAGACAATGATGTAGATATTGATGAATATTTGGACTGGCGAGCGAAAAAGTCTTATAGCTAATATATTGTAAATTGCGTTTAGTGTAATATAATTGTTCAGAAAATTTGTTTTTTGTTTGACTGCTATACACAGAAAGTATTCTGTTCAAAATTTTTTGATAATTCGATACAGTAGTTTCTTTACCTTTTATTACATGAGACCTAAATATAAATTGATACTTTTCTAGAGTTTGTCCAATAAATTCATGATAAAAATACACAGGTCTAACTCATTACCTAATTCATATATATGTCTAGTAACTTGGAAGTAGTAGTCAGTCAGTATGTAATTAATAGGATATGTGAAAATATAATTTTTTGTTTTGTCCGAGATGGAATTTAATATTAATAATCTATAGAGACAAAGTCAAAACAAAACTCAAAGTCACTTTGATATTATCTGTGGCAATTGTTTTGACGTTTACTTAAGACTGTTTTTGTTTTCTCAATTTGTGTTCAATTTATTGAAAATGCCGAACGAAGACCGTGAGCTATTTCATAATTTTGTCACAAAACTTCAAACAGAAAATGACATAAAGCCAATTTTAAATGATATTAAAAATATGTTTAGTTTTAAACCACCTTCTAATGCTAAAAACACTCTTACTTGCCTTGGGGTGTCGAATATAATTCGGTGTCTGGATGTTCAGGATAAGTAAGTAATGTTATTAAAAACTTATAATAATTTAGTTCAACAACAGCTTTCAAAAATTTATATTTACAGGGCAAACGTAGATTTGACCTGTGAAGTTCTAAAAATATGCTTTGATAAATTTGGAGCAGGAGATGTAATAAAACATTTCACAGGTCATATCATGTATTTACTTCGTCATGACAAGGACTGTGTGAGAAGACTGGCTGTTGATGAGGTAAGAAAGAGGTTTATGTTTGAATTAGTATGGTTATTAAATTGCAAAGTATGGGTTTTCTATTAAATATGTGAACCGCGTCATCTTTTTGCCGGCTCAAGGTTAGCTGCACGCTTCGCAGTACGCCTCCCGCATCCCTTTGCGTCTTATCAGAGCCATGTTTTTGTGACGGAATCTCATTTAAGAAAATTTTTATAAGGAATGGAGTTGGTTTCCCTTTTGATAACATATGAAGTAACATTTCAACAGACTTGCTATTAAAATTATCTTAACTAAGAAAACATGCAAGTCATTTTCATTAATTATTTATATAATTTCAGGTGTTCAAGTCAGTGAAAACTGATCAAACATCCTTTCCAGTTGCTCAGTACATTGATGTGTTTGTAGCTGTTGCACAAATGATTTGTGATAAAGATGTAGGAGTGGCAAACAAAGCTGTCACTATCACATCTGATTTGCCTCCT